TTTTCCACTTAATGACTGTGGCACTTATCAACAGAGTTGCCAGTCCCAACTATAGTTGCTAAGTGAGGACTACCTGTACCCCTTGAGTTTGGCAGAAACAATATTTTAACAATATTGTCTTCCACCTTGCCTTGCAAAGTCTCCAGTGACACTATGATGTTTTATTTGGTGAATGCATTCATGTCTCCTCAAGGAACCTGACTCAGTAAAATCCTGAGCACAGTACGTACAAGAATAGAGTTTCTCTCCTATATGGATGCTGATGCTATGATGTCAATCATGTAAATGTACTCCCCCACATACACACACACATTCTTCACAATCAAAAAGGTGCTGCTTAATGTGAATTTTCTGATATCTTTTCAACCTGAGTAGCTGGACAAAGGCTTTCCCACACTGTTTATATGGCTTGTTCTGGCAATGAGTCACCTTATGTTTGGAGTGCATATTAAATGAATGAAGTCCCTTGCCACAATTAGGGCAAATATAGGGTTTAAACTGTTCTCTCCCTGACTCTTCAAAGCATATCTGGGAGGCAACTCCTTGACTGTTTTTATTCTGATGCACTAATGGTACAGCAACCAAAGACTCATTGCTCAGTTTTTGACTGTTCTATCTTATGCACATTCTGCAGTGTATGCCTCCAGAGATCAACTTTATGAATAAAACCTTTCTCACATTCTGGGCACTTGTACAGCCTGTCACTTGAGTGGACAAGTTTGTCCATTCTCAGGCTGGCCACACTAAAGAATTCCTTGTAGCCAATGTGGCATTGGTATGAATGACTGGTTGTGTGATACCTCTTAGTCTACTGAGATCATGGAAAATAACTCCACATTCCTTCCAGAAGTATGGCAAACCCTCCCCAGATGCAGGTGTCAAGTCATCCTCATCAAAAGAGTCTGTAATTATGTTGTCATCACAATCCACTTTGATATTTTCCAGGACTATTTTATCAGGTAAAAGGAGCTCTAGATTCTCATCCTCAAATTGTAGGTCAAAGTTGGTACTAGAAGTGATGAAGATTCCAGCTGTGGTCAAATCACTCCACTGACAGTACATGCCATGACCTTCATGTTTTTCACATTGCAGTTCCACAGGGTAATCCAGCTGGAGTGACTGTCCATTTGAACTGCACTCTGGGGTGGGAGATAGAGGAATCTTCTACTATATCTAGCTGAAGACCAGTTTCCTGACCCACCCACTGAGAACTACAGTTAGAATCATCTGAATTATTCTCTCTGGTACCACAAGTGTTCTTGTCAGATTTCCAATTCACTTCCATGTCCATTCTTCAGCACCTTGAGAACTGCTTATTTATGATGAACTGCAGAGGTGTTCTGCCAATTTACAACTTAATTTTCTTGTCTCCAGCTTCAACCACAACCAAATCTAGCAAAGGCAAGATATTGTTAATCAGTCCAATAAAACTTTCCTTTCTCTTTGCACTTTGTGGGCACTACAAACCATAAGCAGTGCTTTCTTATACATGCAGAGGGTCCTCTGTTCAGTTCCCACCATTTCCAGGTGTTTTGTTGTTTAGAGATCAGATAGAAGACCACTATCTAAAATCCCAGACAGCTACTGCCAGAGGTCTTGATTTACATGAAAAACAGCTTCTTATGAGCAGTTAGGTGACACTGTTTTACAAAGTACCTAACATTATTCTCTTAACTCCTTACTGAAAATCAAGATATAATTTAATATGGATATAATTATTAATTGCCATTTTAATGCAATCTTTAAATCCCATTCACCTTACCAAAACTGAAGAGCTGGAGGGCATGGATGGAAGTTAGATGCTAGTTAGATTACGCTGATGGTTCCAGGATTTGGACTACATGAGAAAGTTATTCTCTATTGGCTTCTCCTCCCTGAACGGGCCCACCTAGCCCTACCTGTACTGACTTATTTGCTTCTTTTATTGCAACTGACTGATATGTCATCTGCAGAAGAAAAGCAACCACCCTCTTGTGGTGCCTGTAGGCTGTGAGGGTCTGGATGGGGAACAACAGGCTTCAGCTGAACCCTGGTAAGACGGAGTGGCTGTGGGTTTATTGCTCCCCCGGTTCTGGGGCTTTTGCCTCGGTGGTGGTGGGTGGGGGGTCACC